TAATTTGAATAATGAGATAATTAAAATTATAATTATCAGTCCAGCAACTCAGGAAGTCTACCTTCTATGCCAAACAATTGTTTAAATGCATACTGTGATTTGTGTTCTATCAAATATTTTAACATTTGACTCATATCATTAGAGCACTCAGAAACAGGAAAAGATATTTCTTGGAAATTATTAAATTTACGCATGATATCAATATCTTTACAGTCTTCTTCCTTTTCCAATAATTTCACTAATATTTTATGCCAGTTCATAGACTTAATCTAAAATTTAATAAGAATAAGAATATTTAAGTTTTTGGAAATACAAAAATAGAGAAAGAATTGTTTAGAAAGTCAGAAAATTTAATACTTTTTGCCAACAGTAGTCACAGTCATTGTAAGCACCTTCCATGCAAATAATCCCTGGTTTTCCCGCCAAACAAAAACCTGTGATAGAATTTTCCTTTGCCAAAGTGGCTACATTTCTTCTTTTAATTTTACTGTATATATGATGACTATATATCCAATATCTAGCAAATCCTCTAGATTTCTCTTGCTTTTCTTTCTGTTTGCTATTGTTGGACTCCTTTCTTTGATTCATAATAGTTGCTGCAAGATAATCTTCACTGTTATCTTGCAACCATGATATTAACATGTAAATACAAGGTTCTTCTTCCTCTTGATGCTCAACAACATTGCTTAATGCTTGGTTTAGAAGTAGCTGTTGAGTTCGATTCAGAGATGAACTTCTTACATAAACTTCTGGCTTTTGTTTGGGATAATTAGACGACAGACTAATTAACAATTCAATTGTTCCCTAGGAAAGGTTATTTCATTGACTTTTGGCAAATACCAATGCATTATATAGTACATCAATAGAGACATATTTTCAAATCTTACACCATTCATAGAAATTCCAATGGAATACTCCAGTCTTTGTGGTAACTCTTGCATAGGGTTCTTAATGAAGTTATTAATATCAGCCAAAACTCCATGATCTGTTATTACCAATTCTTTTGGGTAAACAGACTGTAACGCTTCTAATTCGCAAATTTGAGCAGTCAGATTTTCGTTTATTTCTTCGTATGTGGACATATTGTATGTTGAAGCACGTTTCGCACATAGGGACAAGGACACAGCAAAATTATTTATAAGTTAGATAAAAGCATGCAAGAAAAGAGGTTATCAAAGTATCAGTTGATACTGATGATATATAGGGTGTCCCACGTTGTCAGTATATTCTATGTCGAAATAAAAAAAAAAAGTTATACAAACATAGGTCTTTTAGAGATTTGTTAAAAAGTTATGGCAATAATACGAAATGAAGGGAACAATAGCAGACTCACTGTTACTGCGATCTAATACAGAAAGAGATGATCAATATTTGCGCGATATTTACAAGATCGCGTAATGAATTGATACAAAAAATCAATGATGCATTTACTGAAATGAAACAAAATAATAACGAAATTTGCAGAGTAATCTGATATCTTCTGATGTTTTCTGATGTCAATCTTGCATTGTCATAAACGGTGGACATTTTTCAGATGGAGTATTAGTTGCTTTTTGCATAAACAGAGTAAACGTAAATATTGCTGATCTACTTCTGTATTACATCGCAATAACCGCGAGTCTGCTATTGTTCCCTTCTTTTCGTATTATTGCCATAACTTTTTAACGAAGCTCTAAAAGACCTACGTTTGTGTAACATTTTTTTTTATTTCGAACCATAGAATATACTGACAACGTTTGGCCATTAAAACCTGGGACACTCTGTATATCTGTTTTAATGAATTCACACGGGTATTTTGACAGTATCTATCGATTGTCGAGAATCGAATCCAGTTCTTAAATCGATAGATTTTTGAATTTGAATTACTAAATAAACTCTAACACTTTATAGGTATTAATATACTAAATGGATTCCAAGACTACAGTAAATTAAACTTTGACGGTGTCCAGGATATAAATTTCTTTTTCCTCAAATATGGACTCGAAATAATCTGGTTTACTGCAATTTTAGACATTTCCAATGTATCCTTGTATCAGATAAATGTACATTTCATTAATGTTATAAAGTCCAAATTAAATTTTAAATCCTATTTCCCTAAGTTACTGACATTCATTTTAGGATAGAGGTTTCTATGGTGTTGCTGCCTATCCTGTGGTCAATGGAACACAAATAATTGCAGACAGTTGTAATTACGGAGCCCTTTTAATAATTCAAAGTCAAAATGGATCTGTCCTTATTTTACGTTTCACTAAAATCCTGAACAACTATTATTTACGGTCAATTCAAGATTTTGAATTGAATGATATGACCCACTTAACAATTTGGAAAGGAATGAATCAGTTGCATTTAGGCATTGCATCTGATTCAAATGTTTCAATTTTCACTTGGTTTGGTAACTACTTTGATCTGATACAAATTATTAATGTTGGTACTAAGAAGTTAATCCCCTTTCAAAGCAAAGGGTTTATGTACCTGGCAATAACTGGCTCTACAACCTATGTTTTTAAGTATTTTTTAAAGTCTAATGAGTTTCTAGTAATGCAAAGGTTACCATTCAGTCAGGACGTTTCATTTTTTGAATTAAAGAATGGTCATTTCATGGAACACTTTCTAAGCTTGTCCACAGAATCTTTAACTGTCATTTACAAAGAAATCCATGACCGTTTTGTACCATTTCAACAAATTTCCTCTGGCAAATTTGCTGTTCCCATTATTTTAAATAGAGCAATTATACTCTTAACTTGGCACGAAGACACAATGGTAACTTTTCAGTATGATGGGTGGCGATTCGTTGAATTACATATAAGACTGTCTGGAATTAGTCATTTTCATCAAGTTATATTGTACGGAAAGAAATTCTTATTGGTGAAGGATAAACATAATAGATGGATATTGAAAGAACTGCTGTGGATAAAAAAGAAATCTTATAAAGATCTGCAAAAAGAAATAAAGATATGGAATATAAATGCTATGAATACAGTTCAGAAAAGGGTGGAAGAAGTTCCACAACTAAATAATCCTATTAGAATTTTGAGAGGTCATATTGATCAACTTCATGTTCACAATGTGAGATTTTATACTTTCAACATAGCAGCACTAACTGAGTCAATTGAAAATACTCTGTCTTTGCAGATAAATGAACACAACTCACAGAAATTAAAGAGCGTATCAGAGCAATATAAAAACCTGGTTTCAAAATTTCAAGGGCAGAAAATTATCATAAATAATAAGTGGCACCCTGAAAATTTAACTCTTATATCTTTGCATGCAAAGAGGATTCAAGTAAAATGTAAAATAAAATGCAAAATCAACAAATTAAATGTTAAAAGGAATGCTAATCTTCTGTCCAAGTTAACAATGTCAAATAACATGAATGCAGATTTGAGTTACAAAAAATTGAAAGTTAAAGAAATAAAAAATTGGAAATGCCCATTTGTCAGTCTTCCAATAGAAGATATTATTATTGATAAGTCAATAAATGGAATATCCTTAAGTAATTTACTGGAGAATGCTTTGAAAGTGTCTGCAAATCAAGAAGTCTTAGGTGAGATTCTTCAACTTTAATTTTCAAATAAATAAACTAAGTTAAAATACAATTTATCAAATATATATTTCAGGAGAGCACACTTTCAGTAATGTGAATGTGACAAATGCTTCTATGTTGATGAATATTGCCACATATTTAACAAAACAAGAAGTGAAGATAAAAGATGTGAAAGTTAGAGAATTAAACTTAACAGAGGGTGGAATTTTATTGCCATTAAATGGTACATTCACAATAATGACTGGTTCGATCAATGTACATAAGTTAAAAGTGAAGGAGAATCTGCGATTGCAAGGATCATTTACAGGAAAATGGGCAACACAAGTATCACCTATAATATTCACTTCTCAGCCTATGATTTTGGATGGTAATTTCAACTTGGAAAATGTTAAGATTGAGAATTTGAATTCTACAGACTTAATTGTCAACAAAATAGGATTAGTGAAGAATATTTTATCAAATGCAATATCTTTATACAATAATGTACCAGTGTCTTTATTACTTTCCAGCAAAGCAATGGTGAGATTAATTTTTATACGTAGTTGATATATCTTTATGGCAATAAGTAATAAGATTTAATTTTCATTCAGAAATGGAGTAACATTACTTTACATGGCCACCAAAATTGGATCACTGCAAATTCTCAAAATGTTATTATGACATCAGCAAGAAAGAAATTTCTGCACAATGTTGAAGTACCACAAGTTTCTTATAATAACTTAAAACTTCTACGGTATGTTTAATTAACTAAATAATTTAAAAAATAATTTAGAGAATATTTCAAAGAATACTTTTTCATTTAAAGAATCAAGACAAACCTATGTGCTATTACCATAATTGCACCTGAAATTAGAACTTTTACATTAGCAGTGAATAACATTACTGTGAAAAGTTTAACAAGTTCACGTGTTTTTGGAAATTTAGGAGAAAGACACTTTTCTGATAACTCAACATTTCTATTTGAATCTATTTTGCCTGGTGAACAATACTATCGTAATATTACTACAAAAAATATAATTACAACACACCTAAATAATATAAATTTAAGAGGTGAAGCTAAGTAATTTTTTTAATATTTGTATTTGATACCATAATTTTATAATAATTAATTATATCACTACAGTACTGAAGATGCTTGCAAATTCATGGGTTGAACCCAATGTCTTCAACGCTTCAATTGAAACAACCAATTTAATAATAAACAATCTTCTATTTCCTATTGAATTTCATGAAAAACTTGTCAGAATAAGAAAAAATATAATTTTAGAGCAAGATACTCATGTGGATGATATTAATCATGTTAATTTTGCTAATCTCTTGGCTAATGCCATAAAACTTGAAGATATGATACCTTTACAAAATATAACATTCAGTGAGATATAATGTTTAATGTATATTAATGAAAGCATCAGTAGTTTTTACTTATTCTAACTTTATTTTAGGTAAAGGTTTTACCTCAAACCGTATGCATACCTTTTATTTTCCATCATACTTGATGGAAATGAAAAGAGACTTTAATCTTCATGAAAAAAGAATTTCTGGAAATATAGAAGTGAATACAATGAATCTAGCATATTCTTTTGAACTTACCGAAAATAATATTCCAGTTAATATTATTGTCAAGGAACTTGCAACTTTCCCAATGGAACCAATAATAAAAAATATAAATAACACTAAATTGGAAGAACTGTTTACAGAGGTTTGGATAGCAACAAATCTAACTACCTTCCATGGAAAAAATCTGTATATAAAGGATGCACTGATGAAAGGAAACATTTCTCTAAGTGTAAGTATTAAAAATTTTTTATTAATATTTTATTACAATATTTCTCTTTCAGAATTCTACAAATATCTTAAATTCTGCAATATGGAAGGACATTTCTGAACGTGTTTTGAGCAAGACAAAATTACAGAAAATAATAGTTCCTGTCTTTTTGCATAACATTAAAGTCCCTGCTATTGTAGATTCAAGTGTTTCAATTATAAAATCTTCAGTATCAGATATTAATGACATGTTCAATAATTTACTGGTGAAAAATACAGATCAAAAAGTGCAAGTGAAGTGGACATTCAATACATTAAAGATCTTAGGTAAGAATGCTTCTGCTTGTACTAAAGTAGTATCTTACAAAAAAATAAAATTTTATTTGTGAAAAATTCAGGGAAGTTGTACGTAAAAAACAGAATGAACAGCATGGATCTTAAGAAGGATGTAATGAGAAACGATTTTAAGGAAAATATTGTAACTGAAAAGAAAATAATTAATGTTTTGACTGTGGAAAATTTGAATGGATATGGTTTTGATAAATGGGCTAAAAATGTTCTGATGCAGAAGAAAAAACATGTAACCATCAAGGGACGAAAGAAGTTTAATACTGTTACCTTTAGCAATATAAAGTAATTAATGAAATTGGTTCATTTACTAATAATTACTGAATTGATTAACATTTATTTATATGCTTCCAGGGTATCTGGAACTATAATGGAATATAATATTGCAGAAGCATTATCAAAGTCTAAGAATCAAACAATCTATGGTCAAAAAATAATTCAAGGTTCTATTAATGCATCCGAGCTTATTATTAATGGTTTAATAAATGATGTAAACCTGACTAAATTGATGGATCATCAATTGAAAAAACATAAATCTCTACAGAAAATAAGAACAGGAATCGAATTGCAGAATAGCTTAAACATTGTTGGAAATCTGACAATTAATGGTACTTATTCAGGGGCAGAAATGAAGAACTTTTACCAAAGTTATTTTAATGAAATGCCTATTGCAGAGAAAATAAAGAAATTTTCAAGAGCAGCAGAAACAATTAACACCGCACTACGAAGTATCTTTCTTTTAAATATTCAATAATAAGATGACTTTCAATAGTAATGCTTAAATATTTTATTACTATTACAGATAGAGTAGCCTACATAAATAAATTGAAAGTCATAAAAGACATCATTCATACCTCTAATAAATCAGCAAGTATTCAAAAAGCACAATGCAAAGCTGCAAACTTTTCTTCATATTGTACTAATCAACGTTTAACAAATCTTGTTTTCAAAATGAATATTAGTGATTTTATATTGATAGAATCGATTACGTTGAACGAAATCGAATTCATCATAGTGGTAAAGTTTGATGCAGTGTCTATATATTCATACAGTAATGAACAAAATAATCTTATTCACTTAAAAGGTTTGTTTGATAAACAGAGAATAAAATCAAGGTAAAAAAATTATTCATTTTCACTGAAAATATTATATTCATTCAAAATCTGCAGACTTACACATTCCAAAGATAATGGACGCGTTCGTGGAGCCCATGTTACATTCTCTATGGATCATGCTACGATTGCCATCGCAGACATTGGTGTTACACTATCAGGCGTGGAAGGATTTGCAAGAATATGTTTTGCCAGCTACGGATGTATTCATAGTAAGTCGAACGCGGAACGATCAGCTCTTATTATTGTTGTCAGACGGCGTATGGAATCTTATGGGACTCGCGAGTCCTCGAAAGATCATTGGAATTCCTTTGAAGGAAAAAGTGGAGACTTTTGCCGACGGATTTTATTATTATGTGAAATGTATTTCGAAAAATAGTACAGTACTATTGAAAGCGCGATACGTAGGAAATTAATTATGTAAAATAAACGTTAAACGTTATTTTGTTAATGCTTGAACGTCTTAATGTACAATGAATAATATGTAACTATGGTTATTCAGTTTTTTCGGAGTTGAATGTAATAAAATGGAATTTTCTAAAAATGTGTAAAATTGTAGAAAAAATTCTTGCTGTAATAACTTGGTCCTGACAATGAAAATTTCAATACAACACCAGTTTAATTCTTAAAAATGGATCCAGCTGCAACTGAAGACATAGCTACCTGAAAAATACAAGAAATTCTGTAATCTTTTCTAAAGTATAATAATTAATTCAATTAAGACACAAACTCTAGCAGCTTTCTTGATGACTGTGACTTCTTCTGTGGGTTTAGATCTGCCTGTTTCCACACCTACCTTCTTCTTCTCCTCCACCTTGAACAGCTTCTACAAAGCAAAAGTTTCAATCACCTTTAAAGTATCAAATGGCTCCAGTAACTTTTTTTCTCCAAACGTTCTCACAGGGTCTTTCGCTGAGAATTTTTCTTCATATTTCTTCCTTTCTAATACAGCATTATTCAGAGCAGTTTGCTCTGCAGGAGTAAGAACTAGAAGACGAGGATCCATGGAGATCCATTCGCCACTGATTATTTGTTCCAGCCTCCACCGTTTAGAGACATCAGGCTCCAGAAGACGAGTCACTAACCTCTTCACTTGGTCACTCAAGGTATCAGCAATTTTAGTACGGAATCTCCACTTGCGACTGGTTTGCTGTTCGTATAGACGCTTGATGTCAGTGTCGTCAAAGGGCATCGAACACCAAGGGACCAGACATCAGCGATCTTGGGGTTGTACGGAGAAGCACGAAGGATTTCTGGAGCAGCATAGGACAGGGAACCGCAGTAGGTATCGCTTAAGACACGTTTACCTCTATTGTCCACTACGTAACGAGCGAATCCGAAATCTGCTAGCTTCACGTTTAAATTTGACGTCAGAAGAACATTTTCACATTTCATATCCCGATGAGCGATCTCCATTTCGTGTAGGTATTGAAGACCTGGAATTGTTCGTATAATGAAGAAGGGACTATCTTTAAATGATTATGAAGATGTATATACTATAATACCAAGTGCAAGCTGTCGAAACCATACGCGTGCTTGACCCTCAGCAGCTGCTCCATTTTTCAAGATGAACTCCAACAGATCGCCATTTTCAGCGTAGCGCATAAATATAAAGTATTTTGCTCGCCTTTGGAATATACTGTGCACATGTACGACATGAGGATGGTTTAATTTTATCAGAATATCCAGTTCGCGAGGCAAAAATTTTCGGACAAAATCCTTTGGTGCTTCCCCGGTGTCTATAACCTTACACGCTAAAGTACTGTTCTTTTCAGGTTCTGATTCCGGTTTATACTCCGCTAGATATACCTGCAATTAAATAATGGTTAATTTTACGTAATATTATTACTATTTTCTCTTAATAGAAATGTTCTTTTAATAGAACATAAAAAAATTGGAGGTTAAAAGATTCGAAAAGCTCGCTCAATTTCGTTATCGACTGAGCTTAACCTCAATTTTCCTTTCATAAAGATTTCAGGATAAATTGGTTTATGGTTTTATGATATATTTAATTTACCTTCGCATAAGCACCCTCACCCAATTTTTTTAGAAATTTGTAGCCCCTTGCCAATAAAACAGTCTCTTCAGATGGCGTTTGATTCAGATCCGACATGTTCTTTTTCTTTTTTAATAATTTTTTATTCAGTATCATGTATCAGGGAGGTTAATCGATTGATTTATTAACAAAAATTTATTGTATAAAAATTATAATATTCTATAGGGATTTCGATTTATTTTTTAATACTCCTTGATTATTATTATTACTCACTTTTAGGTATCAAGCAAAATTATATTAAAATAGTGTTCTATTAATGAAAATACCCACTTTTATTTAACCATTTTGTTCACGTAGATACTATATTTAATATGAGGTATAACAGAAGAATTCATGGCCTACTTTGCAGAATAATATTTTTTAATTTCACGAAATAATGTTTCAGAAATTTCTTTCAAAACTGAATGGATAAGAGTAAGCAAAATAGAAACTATAAATTAAATAAAGATAATAGTCTTATATTTTTATTTGGAATTTTACATTTAAATAGCGGATGTGACGTCTGACATCGAGATGTATCGAGTTATCTAACTTAGCCGCTTCGAGAGTGTAGCATAAGTCTTTCTTCCGTAACCGTGCTGAGGAGAAAAAAGTAACGTAAGTATGATACACGTCATTTTTAAAATTTCATTATTAAAATCTCTACCTAATTTAATTTTGGTACATTCTTATAAATATATAAGACACTACGAATCTACGAAACATTATACAAAATAAATTTATTATTCAATATTTAAATAAATTCAATAGTGGTCATAGCCATGTGTTCATAGGTTAAATTAGCATCTTTGTTTGATGGCAAACGTTAAATTTTTCTACCAACAATTACGCATCGTTTATGCATATTTATATTTAATTTTTGTATTTAATCTCCACAGAATGGCGGACACTGCTCCAGCCGCGCGTGGAGGATTTCGTGGAGGATTTGGCTCTCGTGGAGGAGGTGACCGTGGAGGTCCAAGGGGTAGAGGTCGCGGAGGTAGAGGAAGAGGCCGTGGACGTGGACGCGGTAAAGAAGACAGCAAGGAATGGATTCCAGTCACAAAACTTGGACGTCTTGTCAGAGATGGAAAAATTGAATCCTTGGAGCACATTTACCTCTTCTCTTTGCCCATTAAGGAGTATGAAATCATCGACAAGTTCCTTGGACATGAACTAAAGGATGAAGTATTAAAAATTATGCCTGTACAGAAACAAACCAGAGCTGGTCAACGTACACGTTTCAAGGTAATATTACTTTCACCTAATTTTTATTTCACTGAGAACCTTGTTAATTATTTATTTTCATTTTACAGGCTTTTGTAGCTATTGGTGACTATAAGGGTCATATTGGTTTGGGTGTAAAGTGTTCCAAGGAAGTAGCCACTGCCATCCGTGGTGCTATCATCTTGGCTAAACTGTCTGTTGTACCAGTACGTCGTGGTTATTGGGGTAACAAGATCGGTGATCCTCACACAGTACCCTGCAAGGTTACTGGCAAGTGTGGATCTGTTCAGGTGCGTCTGATCCCAGCACCAAGAGGTACAGGCATTGTTTCTGCCCCTGTACCTAAAAAACTGCTGCAGATGGCTGGTATTGAGGATTGTTACACATCTGCAAGAGGATCCACCTGTACTCTTGGAAATTTTGCTAAGGCTACTTATGCAGCTATAGCCAAGACTTACGCATATCTGACACCAGATCTCTGGCATGATCAGGCACTAAGAAAAGCACCATATCAAGAATTCGCTGACTATCTGTCTAAGAATCACAAAGTCATGGGAGGACAAAGACCTGCTGAGGTTGTTTAAACAATAAAACTCTATGCAAAGTCTATTTGATTGTAATCATTTTCTTTGCTCATTTCCTATCCTCATACTCATAATATGTCCGATTATTATAAATTATAATGATGATAGTGAATTAGGAGTAACGTAGGCTTATGGTTTTTATTTTTTATTCAATAAAAAAATAATTATGTACTATCCATGGATGTGTCCTTTGAGTTTTTAAATTGTTCATAAGAGGTATTAAAAGTGTCTAAAGTGTGATCACAGATCTTTTCAAAGTCCTGCAATCCTTTTTTTAGTACATCTATTGCTTTTCCCTTTTTTGCTTGAATCCGCAAGTAAATATTTCCTTCTGCTGGATGATTGACGAAACAGGCACAAAATTCCACGTCAGGGCTAGGTTTGAAAAAATATAATTAAAAAGCTTAATGATTATTTCTAAAATGATATATTAATTAATATGACATACTTCTGTGAAATTATGGCCACCAAAGAATTTCCTAAAGTATAACCTTCACCCATAAATACGAAAGTTTTGCATTGTTCAGATGATTGATCACTAGCTACCTGTTTTGAAAAAAAAAATGTAATTAATCATGTAAGTTTATAATTTACATTGCAAAATATAAAATTATAAATATTGTACCTCTGCTAATCGACCCATTTTATTATTTATTCTCAACGGATTATTATAAAATAATATGTTAAATTATCACAAGTCTCTTTTTCTCATAATACTTAAAATTACCGATATAATGTCTATATTATCATAGCAACATGAAGTCCAAGCATCGTCGAAGAGAGACTCCAATAAGTTTACATTGTTGTACCATAACCTAATCTTTCGTACCAATAACATACATAACCTAATTTCGTATTGATCATCACTTACTGAATTGCAATTTGGATTGAGTGTTTTTTAATAAGAAATAATAATTAGAAATTTTCCCAATTGGGGCAGAGAAATCAGTCAAAAATTTAAATAAATCAAATAAATATTTTGAATGTCAAAAGATATATGTAATATTACATTAATTTAACCTGATGTTTTATAGTTAAAATGTTCTGATTATAAATGATTTAATACAGTATAAATAATATAAACAACGAGAATAAGTGAAAAGACAGTACAAAATGTCTCTGAAAGAAATTTTTTTAAATGTGTCATTGAGATTACGATTTCAAGGTGCTATAAGTAGAAAACATTATTGCTCGAAGCCAAGTAATATTCTTGAGACTGCTGAAGAGCAACCTATCTTCAAAGAGGAGGAATTTGATGTTGTAGAAAAAGAAGATAGAAGAAACAAGTCAAGACTTACTCCTGGACACAGAAATATATTGTTTGGTGAAAAGCCTTATAATGAAGCAATAGTGTGGTATCATAACACAGTCAAATATAAAAAGAAAATATTAGGTAGATATGGTGTGAAAGCATTAGGAACACCTGCAGGATGTTTGTGGCCCACTCGTGAAGAAATAAAAGAACTAAAAGAATATGAAAGAGTTGCATTTCCATTGGATATTCAAGAAAGATTGCAAAAAATTAAAGAAGAGAAAAAGAAGAAGGAGGAGGCTCTGATAGCTAGGTATGTTAATTTATATGATATATTTTATAATAAAATTTAACAGTTTTTATACATATTTATGTTTATAGGCAAGAGGAAATAACTGTTAAAATGGCTGGCATGAAACAGCTGTTAATCAGTGTGCAAGAAAAGATTGCTAAGAAGCAAGAAGCAGAATTAGAAGCTAAACTGAGGAAAGAACGCAAGTTAGAGAAAATTAGGCGTGAATTAATTGCTACAGGCAATGTGAGCAAGAATAAACTAGAAAAGGCATTGATTGATGTAGAAAAAGATGAGAAGAAGAAGAAGAAAGAAGCTAAGAAGGCAAAGATGCTTCAGCGACAACAAAAAATGGTAGAGGAACTAACTAAAAAGCATTTAGATGAAAGTCAGAAGACTGAACCTAAGGAAGAAGATGAAGATGAACCACAATCTAAGACAAAATGATTGAAAAATCTATGAAGCAGACAGTTTTGATGCAAACGTGTTGTATTGTAAAATAATTTCTACATAGTAAAATGAACGCATTACAAACATCCATGTAGTGGTTAATATTTCTACTTTCTTGGTATACAAACTTCCAAAAAGTAATTAGAGAAAGAGTAATATTTACACCTCGTAGTAAATATTGTATTTTCGTTTGCTAATACAAAAAACGTTACATATGTTATTTCTGCAAGGGCTAAAAGAAACTATACTAATATGGTAGTATTAAATGACTCGATAAGACACATATATCCAGGCACAATTTCGGCAATAATACGCTGCGTCTCGTTCGGATTTTTGTTCATGTTCGTTAGCAGTTCGGAGAACCGCAAAGGAAAGTTCAACAACCGTTTGTACGCTTAAAAAAAGTCAGCTCTCGACCATTGACTCTTGAAACTCCTTCTCATTATTGGTACTGTGAACATCCTCCATGTTTTCTTCCACTTGATCCTGAATGTTTTGCACGTGCAGCTCGTCGATAACTATCAACCTCAACCTATTTTTCTCTGCTTGTCAGGCAGACTGGATCTGCGAAGGAGAGGACAATTCGTAGAACTGAAAATTTAATTCTTCTCCAAACAGATTTTCCGGGGTAATGATCTCCGGTTCCACCATGTTCAGGCCCAGGGTCGTTGGATTTAGATCTGTGACTAGATAACCTTCGCTTATGAGTCCGCATTCTTCGGCCACCACTTCCTTAGATACTGGATTAAGGAAATCTGCGAAGATATTTAACCAATGAATTTGAATTCGAGGTTCAATTGAATCGTATGATTTCTAATTTATCCGGAAAATAATTTGACTTACCACTCTCTTTCACAGGGTAATGAAGTTCCTGTGTTTGCTGATTGGACTGGGTTGTATTATGTTCATTACTGGACACCATCATAGGAACAAGATACTGTACTTCTACTTCTTTCTTGATACCACTGAGAATTTCTTCTGCACAGTGCTCTAATGTCACAGAATTCACCATACTTTCAGTCTCCTCCTCTGAGGACTGTTGCGTGATACTGGCAGTCGCTGCTTCCACCTCATCTATTGGATTCATGTGCCTGAAAGAGTTAAAAATACCAATAAATAAATACAATTTTAAATTAAACTTTCCCTGTTTACAGAAAATTAGTAATTCTAACTACCTGATACATTTCCTATGATTTTCAGCTTCTGTCAAATTTTTGCTGATCTGTTTCATGGAAGAGCTAGTGTTAGGGATATTAATAGTCTGTCTAGGTCTGGAGTCCCCGGAACGGTTCGCAATGGCCCACAAGTGTCCAGCTCCATGCGGTGCCTTGGATCCCTTCCGGAAGTGAGGATTTATGGACAAGTTGTGCCGCACAGAATTCTTCCAACGATCGTCGTTGCTTTTGTAATAGGGAAAATGCTCTCTGAAAATATATATTCATAAATTATAAATTTCTGGAAAATGCTCTTTCTGAATTTGCATAATAGTAGACGTTTAAATGGTTTTTGACGTCTGTCCCTTCAACGTCGACCACCACCCGCCACGAGAACAATTTTCTTCACCTGCTCGTGGCGATATCACGGCGTGCTACCCCCCTCCCCCCACAATTAATTCTCCACCTAGGGTAAGTGGAGACAAAAGAGCACGGAACATTAAATGGCGACTTTACCCGCTCTAATGATTGTAATTGGTAATCATTCAAAAACAAAGGGAGGAAAGAAAGGAAGAATGTTTACCCTTCGTATAGAAGTAGTTCTAATTGATTTCCATTATAGTTGGTTTCATTCAATTTAAAAATTCAACCTTAAATTTAATGTATATTCCTTTAATTGATTTTGAGGGTATTGAATTCATTCTCACTTGTCTATACTATGTCATACACCCTATATATAAGAAATGTAGGAAACGAGTTTCTACGAATTAACGAGAACATGGCCCACGTCGATGCGGGGTGGCTCGCGTTCTTAGATGGTACCCCTTGGCACCGCTGCCCTCGCTACTTGGTACCAGCCGGTACCAAGCCTTTCCTTGCTCGATGCAACTCTCCACCCCTCTCCATTCCACCCCTCAGTCAGCACGAATGCGCACAATTTACTGGTTCTGTGCTTTCACCTGTTCGATCGTGGACTGATGAAAAACGACCATACAGATAATCGAGCCCCTGAACTCATTTCTAAGCCTCCCTTACAAGTTACACACTTAAATAATTTTCCTCCCTTCTACAAATACACAGAACTCTTACACTATGTATCAATATTAATTTTATATTTATGGGAAATTTAGGTCAAGGTGCATAATGTATGACCTTCAATTGAGAATTTTCCAGTTAGCAAAAAGCAATGACCAATTTAATGTCTCCTTGACGCCTTAAAAGTTCTGTAAGCCATGCACGATGCTAAACAAATCTTTGTTGTTCCATGGAACTTGCAAAGTTTTGGATTATTGCTGTTGCAGGGTACTCACGAGATCCACTGATAAATGGCTGATACTGTGAGCTCTCCTTTTTCTCGCAGAGCGTGTTCAATGAGCTCTGTGTAGGTGAAAGGCGGCTTTTTTGGTCCGTTGCACCGTGAGGACGTGAAGCTCTTATTGTCCAGGCTGGAGCAACTCTGATTGGAGTCATGATTCCAGGAGCAATTCTCGTTGTAATTTTTCTTCACATCGTTGACGTAGGCAGACCCATAGAAACGTCCATTTACCTTTGTTTTGCTTCCTGAAGAAAGATAAAAGGCATTTACTCTAAGGCATTATGAGTAGAGTCAAGCCTTTATGTTCAATCTATTAAACAACAAATTTGTTTCCTTGTTAATTTATTTGGAATCACATAGAAAAGCATTTTAAGAAGATTCTGAGTCATGCAATGTGGAATTATGAGAGCAAAAGTTTCATTTAATAGTCCTTAGAATAACTTCAGACCACTGTGATTGTCTCTGGGTGATGGTACACTGGACTTTTCATCTGCAGCCTCAATGAATGGGTCTAGTTTAAAGTCCAACAGCCAAGAGAGGTTCCCAGTCTCCTGATCGTCAAACTGCTGCTGCTGTTGTTGACTATTGGAAGGCATGTCTGGCTTGTTCTGTTGCACATGGGTGGGTGGTATAGTGGCAATTGGCTTCCAGTAGTCAGAGCCAACCTGGTAACTTGTTTCCTCAATTTGCACCTCCTGGATCACCTGTTCCTGCCTATGGTCCAACGATGAGGAAGACGTGGCAGGCGAGGCCGCAATTTCAGCGATAGTATGTTGAGATTCCAGTTCTGAAACAGTTGTCCAGGTGCAGTTGGTACCATCCACCAAGAGGACCTCCAGTCTCGCCATTGGACAATCCTCCATGGCCTCCTGGGCCGACAGTGGCGAGAACAGGGCCGTCGTGTTGCCTATGACTTGGTTAGAGGCAACCACATCCATTGGAGTCTCTATATCTTGATACTGGTACCGTTTACGACTGTTCTGGACCTCCTCACAGAGGCTTTCTATGTCCAGGTCCTCAAAGATGCGTTTCTTGCCAGGTTTGGACAGGTCAGACACCTCATCCTCCGAAACACCACCAGCACCAGAGGAAGGCCCAATCATCTGTTTAAGTAAAGTTTTGGATCAGTTTGTACATGGATGGTCACAAGTTTGAGATGTTCTAAATTTCTTTGCTGAATTGTGGTATGTTAATCCAATTTTATATGTGAATACTTTATAGTTGATAGTTATGTGGTATTAGGTGTATAAATATAAGTGTTCTGATACACTCTCTGATCTTTCAGAAAAGTTGAAATTTGCTTGAGATAATATAAATCACTTTTTCTTATGTATAAAAGAGTGCTGGGTTACTTATTTGTACACCTAAGATTTTTGTATATATTCTGTATGTATGGTATGGGATACTTCTTCCAGGGAACATTCTAATAATATTAATAAGTCAGTTAGATTTTATTAAATACACATTGTTTCTTTCATTTTAAATATACATCTATCCTAAAGAATAGTCTGGAAGTTTAGTTTCCTGGTGCTCTGATCAATACACAGTAACAGTACATTTATATGGTATAAAAAAATAAATAAAAAATTAAATACCTTATTAAAAAGTATTGCATACTACATAAGAGATGAACCAGACAGAATAAAGTAGCATAAAATAAATAAAAATAGGTAACACAACATCTAAGACCATCCAAAATGGGAACCTAGAAGAAACAGGTAAAAAATAATAAAAAATTTAAAAACATCATTGAATCGTCGTCTAAAGATCAAAATACTTCACAGAAAAGCAAATACAAACTCCACGCGTACTCACATCAGTCCCCACTAATTCTCGAGTTTGACCGATTCGAACCGATTATTTCGTGATAGCGAAACGAGTTCTAACTATCATCACGAGGCCCCGACGTCAACGAAGAGACAATCGCACAATAATTTCGAACGTTTCATCGATGCTCGTGTTCGTGTTTCCTTCAAAAGTTTCTTCGAATTATCAGTGGGAAATGGTCGCGACTATAGAACGTGGTCACCAGTTCACACTGTTCAGAGATGTTTCATCGCGAATCACAGTTGTGGTTACAAGCGGCACTGATTAGTTTAATTAGAAATCACCCTGTGACCGGACCTTTTTGAAATATCTACGTCAGATCAACTTCGGGCTGCGACTGTCTCCTCTTTCGTATTTCAATTGTTACGCGGCACGAAGCGCGCGCATTCTCAAATCTTGGCTGAAATGGAGGGGACAATCGAGCATGCGCATACTGACTTCACGTTCATAGACGTATACGTAATGGAACCAAGGGAGTTTTTCAGGATCATAAACTTTTTTTCCAACTAAAATAAGTAAAATATATATTTTTAATCTAAACCACAGAATACTGATGGTACAGGAGCATTACTCAGAAGTGTTGAAAATATATTTTATAGAAAAGTTACAAGTAATTTTTTGAATGAATAGCAAAAATAATAATACTAGTAATTTCAATTAAATCTATCGAATACTTAGTTGAACTTTAGTATTTGATGTAGTACTACAAACAACAGGTGCTATTGCATCTATAAGTAGTGCTATACAAAATATATTTACTATCATGCTAAGCATTTTCAAAAAAAGAAACCGTTATAATTGGAGTATAAGCGAAACTTGTAGCCTATTAAAATTTTGTAGCTGTTATTTGTATCGATTAGAATCATTCGTTCAAGTTATTTGAACATAGTACATGGTGGCTGATTATAAAATGTGCATAGTCCGGAAAAAGTATTTATATAATGTTGGGCTAAGTATAAGATACCCGGAAAAATTGTTGGTGTATACGAGACTGGCGTTGTTCTGTAAGTACATGCGTGAAAAATCAGCAGGACTCTTCTACAATCTACATATATACATTCTTGTTCCGTTTTTCGATGCCATTTGATGTTAAATTTTTTTCGTTTCAGCGATTTGTTATCGCTTCTCTGAAAAAGGAGGTATCAATTCAAGTTTCATCAATCTTTTAACGTGACAGATGCGATTTTTGGGAAAGGAATATACGTTGAACTTCACTGTCAACGTAATTGCGCCACAGGGCATGTCAAACGTTTGTAAAAAGTACATAATGACCTTGATAATAATTAAGAAAATTAAATATTAGTAATTATCAAAAAACGAGAATATTAATGTAATTATAAAGATCGTTTATTAACGTAGCTAGGGAAAATTTTTTAAATTCAGAAATCATATCTGACACCATTACGCTATACTTGCGTATTTTAGTTCAATAAAAAATTGGTTATACACTTCAATAAAAACACATACTATTGACAATTAACTTATACATTTATGGCATAATAATATATTTTATTTTTGAATTTTTAAATCGTTTGAAACTAAGGTAATAATGTCTAAAATATTATTAAAAAAATATTCTGAAAATAGAAATAAATAAGTGCATTGTTTATAAAAGTCTGTGATGCTTTTGTACGTGCAACCCGCATTACACCTGTGTATAAACGCATCATGACTGTTTCGCGTATCTGTTTAACTGTGGAAACTCGGCGTTCAAGGTCAAGGTGACACCGTGTTGCAAAGGGGAACGTAACTACTGGCGAATTTCACCTTCGGACAGTGACTGTACGGAAGCTATTTTCCCCAGTGCGTTGCACTTTTTGCGCAGAGTGTACCGTGGATGCATGCACCCACTGCGCACGGATAAACGTCACGAAGAATGACATTTAAAATTTGCAGTTAAAAAGATTCCGACGATAACAACGTGTTTTTCACGAATCCGTGTGCGTGTTCGTGACAATTTCGTTTACATATGGGGTATTGAACGAGCTATAGAGCGCATCATGAACGTGGACAACGACTTGGACCAGCATTTGCTGCATCAGTTCAGCTGCCTGGGTACTACCGACAAGGACGATTTGGTGAAGCAGCTACAAAAGCTGCTGGCCGGCAGCCAGCTGAACGAAGCAACTGCTACGTTCTTCCTGGATATGAACAACTGGTGAGATACTACCTTCCGCGTGCACTTCTACGTCGTTTCTATGACCTAACCCTAACATCGCCATGTTTACGTGGAGTCTCGTTTGAGACTCTTTATCTTCATCCTATTGACAGTTTAAGTACATAGATTTGACAGTTAATACGATTTCATTTATTTATTATTTGCTTAATTATGAGAACTTTATATTTGATGAAAGAACATTTAAAGTGTGATCAGTTTAGAGATGGATCAGTGGGCTTCAGACACCTTTACCATTAAATTATTCTTTGGCGCTGTATTACATGTGATTATAGAAATGTGTATGAATGTATAAATAAACTGGATACGATTTCAGGAACCTGCAAGCAGCAATATGTAGTTACTTTGACTGCGAGTCTCCAGTTCAAAATAAATACCCTTGTATGAGGCTGGTATGTGACAGCACTATTGGCGAAGGAGAATCAGTACCACCTCTGACTAACTTTAGAAAGTCATGGCAAATACAAAACAGTGGTACAGAAGCATGGCCTGAAGGAGTCTGTCTACAGTATACAGGAGGAGTACAAATGGGAGTATGTACGAGAGTACCAGTTCCATCTTTAGGTCCGAAAGAATCGACAGAAGTAAGTGTGGACCTTCAGAGTCCTCCACATTGTGGTATATTTGAAAGTAAATGGAGGATGATGGTAAAATCTACAGAAACTTTTTTTGGAGGTAAATTCGCTTACCTTCTTATTGTGGGACATTTTTAAGGGTATCTTTATCATAGTAATAATCTTTTTTGTTTAGATGATATTTGGATAATAATTACGGTGAGTGAAAGTGGCACCTTGGCTATTACCCAGCAACTGCATCAATTAACTACTTCATCATCTAATGATGTAAAGATGTGCTAGCCCCTAATGTCCAGAGACTTTCCTTAAATTTTTTTTTTTATTTTTAATACCTTTGTTTATTTTAAATTGAGCAAACGAAAGGTAAAACACATTTGTTTAAGGATACTTGCTTTAAAACTTAGTAGAAATAATTTTTCACTAGCAGCGCGAAAAACAATATTGCCAATAGATATGTATGTACATTATTTAAGGAAGTGTACTGGATTATTCAAATATTGTATAGAAGGAAGATAACTTTGTTAAATTTGAAAGTTGCTTACATAAGGCCTTTTAATCGTCCATGCTTGTCAGTTACATCCTTTTAAAACATTCTTCTTTTACTTGATTGCTTCTATGACGCAAACCGTAGGAAAAATGATTATGATTTATACTTGTTAGAGCTGTAACAGACATGTATGGACCACATTCGAAACTGGTACTGAAAGAAATTGATATAAATATAAATATAACTATAAATATACATATGTATGTATGTTTGCTATAATCATACATACATATATATGTATGTATAATTATTAAGATACAAGTTTATTAAAGAAAACGTAATTTTTATTAGGAAATAAAGTATAGGATACGGTTAAAAATTATAACATGAATTACGTATTCATTCATAAAAAGTGTACAAAAATTTTAATCCTTAGTGTATTTGTTTCGATATGATATCGTTACATTTCAACATGTTATACAGCCATTGACATCGAGATCTTTGCATGTGGTTCATATCCAATCAGTTCGAAATCATTCGTCGTAAAATCGTCGATATTTTCAACGTTCCTAACTATTTTTAAATGTGGAAATGGTTTTGGCACACGTTTGATTTGTTCCTCGAGTGCTGATATATGATTGAGGTACACATGACAGTCACCCATTGTATGTATAAATTCACCTGGCTAAAAATAAACAAAGACAAGAATTTCTGTTAAGAAAAGAGTTCATAAATTCTTTTTCTTTTTTTTTTCCATTGTAAACTTACCTTTAAATTTGTAACGTGTGCCAACATGTAAGTTAATAGAGAATAGGATGCTATATTAAATGGTACACCAAGACCCATATCGGCGCTTCTTTGATAAAGCTGACATGATAATTCTCCATTGCTCACATAAAACTGAACAAAACAATGGCATGGGGGTAGTGCCATTTTTGGAATATCAACAGGATTCCATGCTGACATTATAATTCTTCTATCATTTGGAGAATGTCGTAACTTATTTACAATTTCTTTCAATTGATCAATCCCTGTATAAATAAAAAGAACATATTAAAATATTAGTAAAGAAAAATGTTTCAGTGTATTCATAATTAATTAAATCTACATAATTAAGTTCAACCATTTAAGATTATTGTTTACCTTGGTAGTTATAATCTGCATGCATGTCTTTGTATTCTGCACCAAAATGTCTCCACTGAAACCCATAAACTGGTCCCAAATCTCCTTCTTCCCTGTCTGTAAAGTTACAAGAGTCTAAGTAGTTACGTGAACTGTTTGCATCCCAAATATGAACACCTTTTTCACTTAATAACTTAGCATTTGTTGATCCTTTGATGAACCATAACAATTCCTCCAGTACACCCTTCCAGTATACTCGTTTTGTAGTTAGTAATGGAAATATATCTACAACAATTAATCAAATCGATCAAATTTCTCTTATTGTACGGTTATACGGAATGATATCGATTAACTAATTTAATTTTCTTACTGTCTTTCAAGTTAAATCGCATATGGGTTCCAAAAATAGCCAACGTTCCGACACCCGTACGATCATCTTTTTTTGTTCCTTCTTTCATGATTTTTTTGATTAAATGTAAATATTGATATTCCTCGTGTTCTTCTTCCTTTGTTACATCCATTTGTTTTACGTTTTCCATATAGGAGAATGATATTCAGAATGATAAAAGAAGCCACAAACAAAGAAATAAGTTACTAGCAACCGAATTACAAAAATTACGAACAAAAGTATTGGCACAGCTAGCTTTTAAAGGAACAGAACGATATTCAGTTAATTTCTTTATCAATTATAATTATTGTAGAGGTTTTTACAGTGGAGCCGAAAGAAATGAAGAAAATTTTCGTTCTATAGAGGTTTTTGAGTTATCAAGGTACGAGTTGTGGAGGTTCCACTGTATATTAAGAGCCATGTTTATTGAAACAAAAGTATTGGCACACTAAAAAAATTTGCTTTTTTATATAAATTAGAATGACATTTTTATTATATTAGTAGAAAGTTTATTCTCAAGGAACCCCTAGGTTTGATAGCATTCAATTGTTTATTATTCAGGGAATTATGTTTAGAAGAAAACAGTAAAACGTAAAAAATGGCAGGCAAAATGCAAAAAACAACCGTTTCAGAACCTACAATTATGTATATTAAATTTGTTTAAGCAAGGTAATTCAAGGTCAAAAGCATAATTAAACAATTTTCTAACATGCAAAATGTATTAATGTTCAATAATGTGATTGTCCTCAAAAATTTAGTGATAGAAAAAAGAGAAAAATTATTAACATTGTAAAGAAAAATCCATGTGGCTCCTCTTCACAAATAGTAGCTAACATAAATGAAGATTTTAACAAGAATGTTTATCCCATAACTATTCGACTAGTGTTGAAAATACCGGATACCGGTCACGAGTTGCAAGGCGAAAGCCAACAATTGATAAAATTAATTAGAAAAAAAGACTATAGTTTGCAAATGATTATAGTACCAAAGAAATAAATTTTTAAAGTACAAAGGTGGTGGTATCATAGTGTGGATTTATATGAATTCCAATGGTGCCCGAAAATTTGTTTTTATTGAAGATACAATGGACAAATATGTTTATCTCGATGTTTTGAAACGAAATCTGAAAAAAAGTGTACAAAAATTACATTTAAGAGAAAAATTTTATTTTCAGCAAGATAACGACCTTAAATACACCATCTACATTTTATTTTTAATACACCACACACATTACTTACCCCACCACAATCCCCGGATTTGAACCCTATCTTTGAGCCGAATTAGAAAAACGCGTTTGAGATGATCATTTGACAAATAAACAACAACTGAAACAAGTATTCTTAACGGAATGGTATAAAATAAGTGTAGAAACTGTATAAAGAACTAGTACATTCTATGCCAGATCGTTTAAAATCTGTATTAAAAAAAAAAACTAACTACATACAAAATATTAAATAACTTTATTCAACAATATATACGTACTATAAAATTATAAGTGTACCAATACTTTTGTTTCGGTAAAAATAGCTATTAATATGCATTTATTATTTTCCTTTGTTACGCGATTAGTTAAACTTTTGTTCGTAATTGTATGTTCGTATAAAATTCAAAGATTTAAAAATTTCAGATTACGTTAAAAAGGATGCTTATTTAATAAAAAAAATGTATGTCATCTGTTTTTTATTCATGTTTTAATTGCTCATTTATAGTAAGAGAGTTAATTTCACGATAAAGGAGAAATAAGTATGTATTAATTCTTGTATTAATTCAGTTTAATGACATAAATATGAATCAAATGTAAAATGATACAAATATACGCTAATTAC